GAAAAGTGTCCATCAAGCCAGGTAGGTAATTTTAGGAGTATGACTAGGAGAACAAAGGCTTTCAGACTCAGAGCAGCAGAGGAAATTCAAGATGGGAAATTATTTGTTACAACTCTTCAGTTTGTTGTGGTTTTTTTTTTTGTTTAAAAAAAAGATGGTGTTTACAAAACCAAGACAAACACCTCATTGACTATGAGACCATTTCCGCAGCTTCATCATTAAAGAAGTAATCAACTAATGGAAGGATGAACAATGTATTCTGTTTGAGGGGAGGGACAGGTAAAGTTACTTATTGCAGACCTTATATAGAGGTAGTTTGACAGACACTTTCACCGACAGCCCACAAACCTTAACTGAATTCTCAGTCTGCATGTGTCTAGGTAAGTTACTTAGCTTGGTATCTCAGCTAATGAAAAGTTTGGGAAGATGAACAACTTCCTTCTCCTGCTTAGAACCTGACTAAGCCATTCTGACTCCTAATAGTTCCCTGCCACAAACAATTCTGCTGAACCATATGCTTTACTGAAGTGTTGTTCAGTCCAATCTGCTTTGGAATAGAGACACTGTATATTTTTATGAGTCTAAAATACAGATCTGTGAGGATCACTCATGTTATTACAATACAAATGACATAGTTGAAACAGTGCTCTGAAAAGGAACAATATTTTCCTTTGTTTAAACTCAAACTCAGATTTCTGTTTCCTGGAATGTGGTGTCTTAAAAAGGAAGAGTAAGATAACATTTTCTAAATTGTGGCACACCAGCAGCAATAAAGAAGGAAGTTGTCAGAATAGGCAGAATGTCCTGAGTATTTGTATTCTTCGGGAAAAAGGTATATGAACTGTTTCACCCAAATAGGCAATACAACTTGGCACAATAGCAGTAGCATCGGCTCTACTCACGCATATCTCAGTATCTAATAGCACTTGAAAAGCTGTATTTGTAATCAAAGCAAATTCCTCTTTCCTGCCAATACAGGCTGATCTATTTAATAAGGCTCATGAGAGCCAGGTCTTTCACATTAATAAATTACATAAGGGCTGCATTGCTGCATGTGCTTTAAAATTACGAGTTGTTTCCAAGGAAACATATCTGCATACTGAATTTATTCAGCCTTAGAGATACATAGTATTTTTGGACTTAGACACAGAGGAAAGCATGTTATCCTAACGAACAACCAGCTGCTCACTGGCCTTAACGATGCTAAAAAGTGCTTTATTAAGTGCCAATTTTTTTAACAGAAGCAAATTCAGAATTTCCACAAATCTGATTTCTGTCTTTATTAATATGTTTTTTCACATCACTGAAAATAAAAAATCTCATTCAAAAAAAGATCTTTTGGTTAAATTCACATTCTCTGCTCTATATATCCCAAATAAAATCCATCACAACTAAAACTGTATAGCAACTCCCAGTACTTTTAAGCAATAGCATGCATGTTAGACAGAAATTGAGCTTTTTAATAATTATTACTCATTACTTTAATTACAAAAGAGTGTGTGTGGCAAAGTTTAGGTCCCTACTTTAGCACTCTTTTCCTAGTTACTGTACATCCATCCATCCATCCATCCATAATGCAAGAAGGTGCTTCCTCATAGGAGCTTACAATCCAAGCATAAGGCAAGAAGCTACAAATTGTTCAAACAGCGAGTCAGACACTAACTACTGAAGAATACTTTCTTGATATAATAATACCTGCCAGTCACAGCACACTGGCAGCTAAGCATTGGCATTTTTTTCTAAGTCATTAGAGCAAGTAAGAATTTTAAGGAGGAATCTGAGTGATGAAAGTATGGGAGTTTCATGGGTGTTTATAAAGGATCCCTCCCAAGTAGAAAAAGATGCATGGAAGAAAGCAATGAAATAGTATTTTTATAAGCCATTGAATGGGTGATAAAAATGGAAACTGGAAACAAAAGAGATGATACAATCTTTGAGGCACAGATTAGGAAGAAATTTCAAAGGTCTCCATTTCTTGCACCTTTTCTTTGCAAATACCTATTTGGAGCATGTTTATTTCTGTGTGTGATGAATGGTAAGGTTCATGGTAGTAATGACAATGAACAAAAGGGCAAATTGTCCTTTTATGTTTTACACTGTAATGATAAATTCAATTAATTCAGCAAAGCTGTGCAGTTTTAGAAAATTATTTATACTAATAATACATGCTTGAAACTCTAGAGTTCTTTAAGAAGCAAATTCCAATCTACTAATATATAAATCTATATACTAATAACCTAATTTTAGGAAATTCAAGCCCGATTATTGAACATATAGCAGATATGTGCCAAACAAAACAGAACCCAAAATAACCTAAACAGTCTTACCCCCTTTCACCTGTTGTGATTCAGTCCCAAATAGATAAATCTAAAGGAGGTCTTTTGTTGGAAAGAGCATAAAATCTTATAGGAAGTCTGATATTAATATAATAGAGCTAATTCTGTACCACATAAAAGATTACCTAGAACTATTTTGCTTAAAAACCATATATATATACCCTTCTTATATTTTTTTTCACAGCTAGTGAACCAGAACACTACATTTCCAATCATTATATAATAATCTATTTTCTTAAAATCAAAATTATTTCAACTAAGTTTTCGACTTTAGCTTTTTCCCTTGATATTGTCCATTACAGATACATTCTTTCTTTCTTTTTCTGTAAGATGCTGTCAAAATAGATGCATATAAGGTGACAAAATCTTTAAGAAGCAAAAGAGAGAGACAGAAGTAGCAATTAAAAAATCAGAGAAAATTTCCATCTGTAAAGAAATAAGATATATTGCCTGTAAGCACCAGTGTTGAAAATAAAAGCAGAACCTTACAGGACCTGGGAGTTCAGCAAACTTGTGAGATCACTGCCAACTGACGTTACACTCCTTCTCCAAGAACGTTGTTTGAATTTGTTAAAAATACTGACCAATTTGAACTTGGTATTGGAACATATTAAAAATAAGTAGTAAGATTTAATGAAGTCAACGAGCACATTTGTAATGGTTTTTAGCCTGGAAAGCATAGTGAATTGACATGGTTCACATCTGTCACCACATTTAGCGGAAAAATCTCCTTAAAGAATTGAAGAAATATCTTACAATAATGGAACTGTATACACAGTCATGGGGATATCATGTACCAGAAAGTTTGGAAAAATTGCTAAATTTCACATGGTGATGACAAGACCATAGGTTTGAAAGCTATCCTACTTAGGGCCTCTTCTGCATAGCAAATCGTGTGAGTGGGATGAAGACCTCTCAGCAAGAAAGACAGATAGCTGCCACTTTAAATATCTATCACAGGGCTCTACAGCAATGTGCAATTTTGCACCATGTAGCCCACAGGTAAAAAAACCCTGTATCCCATAGATTTCTACCTAGATTACCTGAGCAGAGTGAGGTATTATTCCAACAGAAGCATTCTTGTCTGGGTTCTTTGGCCAGTAGTTTAAGGACCATTTCAAGCAAAGTTAATCTTACTGAATTTAAATCATGCAATAATAATTCACCTGGTGTGCAGTAATGCTGATAAAAAAGGAGCAGCTGGAAAAGCTACAAGGCTCCTTTTGCCAGTACTAAATTAATAAGCTGTTACCTATAGTACAAATAGCTCAAGCATGCTTTGGTGAATTTCAGACTCACTAAAATGCTTATCCTGCCAGCTTTTGTTATTGACTATGTTGGAGATGGTACAGTGACAGTTCCTTCAATCCTTCCAGCCAGAAACAGAAAGCAGGTGTGAATGGTATTGGAAGGCTGTGAGTCAAGTGATCTCCTGGCTGTCTATGGGATACAGTAAACCTTGTGAAGAATAACACTTCAGAGGTTTGGTAAAAAACAGCCACATATTCCAGACTGGAACTCACAGGAAGTTTACAGTTGAGAAGAATTACAGAGAAGCTGGGGAAACCACAAGGCAGCATTTTAGCTCTAGTTTCTACAATCAAGGCTCTAATCTAAGAAGGCAGATCTGTAAACAGTAATGCTCAATAGCAATGATAAAACAAAACAGCATTTTATAGGCCTCCTAATCTATCTTAATGGATTTCATGGACACACTTCAAGACCCACTCACCCTAAAGTTCTTATAGTCTAAGTGCCAGTCTTGCAAGAAGTTCTAGATGTGCAGACTCCTGCAACTGTTGAGAGCTGACAGAGCTCTGGTAAGGGAGAAAAAAGGTTGTTTGAAGTTCATTGCAGATGCAAGGCTTTATTTTTGTGGGTCACAGAACAAATGTGTGATCAGATCTGAATCTACCTTTTCACATTAGCACCATCAAGTGACTGTCAGTGTGAACTAGCTATGGCTACATAGTTTTAAGGTAGATCTAAGTGGGAAAAATGAGGAGATAAAGCAGCACTCTTCAGCAATGTGACCACATATTAGCAATGTGCACATCACTGTATGTACCCACACAGTGTCTAACCTAAACTGTAGATACTAAGTGGAGAGCTCAAACCAGGGAAATATCAATGATCCCACTGCAAAAATCACTGTTTTGACTTCAATTGCAATTATGCAGTATGTGTCTTGCAAAATATTTGGCTTAACTGTGAACGTGGAACTGTTCACAAAGACTGAAGTATTGATAGTACTGTCTTCAAATACTGTAAGTGCAAGTACAGGCATTTTTGACATTTATTTTTATTTTAGTTGCTTCATTACTACTGCAATTGTTTGTGACTCTGATCAGAGACTGCAAGACAATAAAAACATTAAACAAACACGAGCTTGTTTATTTGAGAAGCAGGACTGATTTACACACCTGCTTTCTTATTCACATGCCTGTACTGTCCCTCTCCCTGTACTGAACAGCCTCTTCTGTGGCCTTGCAGTGAACCAGACCTGACAGATGATCTGTCTGAAGACAGCCAGACTTTGGGGTTTTTTTGTTGAGTTAGTTTTCAGGCAGTTCCAGTTCCCTAGATGAGTCCCCTACACAGCTACATAAACATTTGTCCCAGCACAAAGAAAAAGTGTGGGAGTAGAAGCAAATGACCAAAGAGTATGGAAATTATCTTCACCAAACTACTGCTTCAGATTGTAAAATGAGGCTCCAGAAACTATTTAGGCTTCAACCATGTATTACAGCTCCTATCTTCCTAGTGAAATAACTGCAACCATTGCAAAATCTTTGTAAGAGTTAAAAGGATAAATACTAGGAGACAAAAACCATCTAAAGGACTAGACTTTCATTTGTTCTGCCCTTAAACTAGCAGTAGCAGAATCTTAATGTGTTATTGGCATGGATACTGAAATAGTAACAAAGAAAAAAAAATGAATTAACCATTTAAAGGTCATCTGTAAAGGCTTGGAGGTTGTGTGATGTATGCTATCTTTGACAACATACAAGGAATTGTTGTGAGGGCTTTCAGAACCTGCAATCTCTTTCCAGGAGAGATTTTTTTACAACATTTATTGGTCTTCTGCCCAATAAATCCCTTTTACCCATTTCCTCCTGCGTGTTTTGTTTAGTTATCAGTATCCAGAAAACTGAATCTGGCCTCAGTGACTGCTAGAGAACATGTCTTAGCATGTTGTATGTGTGCAGAGACTGATCACATTGTATATGAAAGGCTGTTTGACAGCTAACAAAAAAATTCAGTTTTCCAAAATCCATCATTATAATTAGATACAGTTAACAATTATTCTTCTCCCAGAAGACCCTTTTCTCCCCTACAAAGAATGCAGATAAAATAAATAGCTTTCTATCTGGCAGTGGTTTGCTGTATCTTCAATACCTTCATTTCACTAGTTCTTCCCTTATCAGAGGTTTTGTCTGCTCAACAAACTGTGTATGTTATCAGTGGATACAGCTGAAAGAGCACAGAACATGTTTTATAAGGACAGGCATGTTAAGCACCACTTAAGAGACACAATTATAACCAATTTTCAAACTTGCCCATGCAGATTCAGTTGGGTACCGTTTCCATTTATGGATTGGGAAAGCAGGAATTTGCTGTTAGTTGCAACTGGACATGAAATCGGTTCACCACCAATTCAGACAGTGGCAATCATTTACCAATGCAGACTGCAGTAATGGGTAATTTTGGTAATGTTACGTTAGCAATGGTAGACAAAAAAAAAAAAACCACAAAGGGAAGAAACAGAAATGCACATCAGCACTTACAAAAGCTCTTGTTTTATGTCTCTCCTCTTATGCCTGCCATGCCTTCTACTGAAAGGCCTCTGGATCCCAAATACCCAGAATTTTTTTGTGGTTGTTTTGTTCCTCAGCTACTTCCATTTTGGGACCTCAGTGAACAGCATATTTCAAAGACTACCAGAGCACAAGCAACAGGTGGACATTTTTATATTACAAAGACTGAAGCACTTGCATCCCCTGGTGGCAGTCTAATTTATTTTTTGGTAACAAAACATAAAACCAGTCTAAACTCTTCATAAGAAAAACTGGAATTCTATTTTTAACCATTTATATACTGATTACACAAATTGTTGTAAATCACAGAGAGAAAGAAAAAATACTTCAGAATATTTAAGTGATTTTTTTCTTTTTTGTCAGGGTAGTTGAAGTTACAAAGACCTGCAAAACCCATGTGATATTTGGACCTTCCAATTATCAAGCTATGAGAATTATTTAGAAAGGCAGATTTAGAAGGAGCAGACTAGTCAACTGAATTTACACAGCAAAAATTCCCACATTATTTCTGAAATTCTTTGTTACTGAAAACATTATGCTCTGCATTAGCAAGAAACCAGCTTTCAGCCAAATGACCCAAAAAATTGTTTTCCAAAGCCAGAAGGGACAACTACAATCACCTACTCTGCATAAATCAATGGCATTTTCCAAGGAAGCTCTGGAATTTATTTCCCATGTCCTTCACCACTGTTCAGGAGCTTAACTCTCTGTACCCATATGGAAAATTAGTAGCATAAACTTCTTGCTTCACTCTGACCATTTATCCTGAGTGTAACTACATGGAAATATATCTGATTTACTAAGTAGCTATGGTAGTTGAACCAGACTTCACACATACATTCAAAAAACTGGCAAAGCATGCAGCAGAGACTAACACTTGTAATCACAGCGTAACTGAATATTTTGTCATCACCACATCCAGCAGGCTTCTATATTGCAAGGTGTGCTTTCTCTGGGATAAGCTAGGATATAAGATTACTAAACTGCTTAGGACAACACCGTGACCAGGCAGTGTCTTGTGAAATGTCTCCCTGCAAATCTTGGCATTTTACAGAACATGCAACAAACAGTTCATTTTCTAGAGTTGCACAGCTTGTCATGTCTGCAAAGAAATGAAGAGTTATAAAGGTACTACAGTCCCCATCCAGGCCTTCGTGTACTGCTGAGTATTAGTATGAACAAATCCTGACATCAGACAACTCAGGAAAGCAGGAAAGTTGCAAAGCTAAAACTAGTTCTCTAGTTCTTGTGAAAAATGTTGTATTTAGCTTCAGACCTCTCCAAAGAAAATAGCTGAAGTAAATCAGTAGCACAGGCTCCTAGAGTTTTCAGCTGAATGAAGGGTATCTATTGGTAACCTTGGGCTTCCCTCCTTCCTCAATCTGCATGTGCTGTCTTAAGCTTTCTAGTGCAGTGACCGTCTTAATCCATACTTAAGAGATCTAGATCCATGACTGGGGCTTCTCAGACATGTTGTTAGAAGAAAATAATATATTTTTTTAAAGCAGCATATGCAAAGTAAGCAGAAGGATTAGAATGCCCTATGATTGTTTTAAATGACGTGTAATGTCATAACTAAGATAAAGGACATGATCTGACATTAAGATATGAAGTCATTGCTATGTCTTATTTACAGTGTATCATGTGGATTATCAACTCAGATTATTCAGTTATACAAAAATTTTAAGAAATGCTCTATTTTTCCCAGTAGGGTAAATGGATTTTAAAAATACATGCATTTTGATGTCATGTGACAAGCACACTTTTCTTTTCCTCATGTTGCATAAAACTATGCTGCAATTTGAGAATGAACAGTAGAATTTGAACATTTCTACAGAAATATGAAGCTGAACTACATTTAGACTGCTCAGGCCCATGTTGCTGTGCCATCTGGTGGCTACTAGTTTGTAATGCAGATGCTGGCAAAAATACCCACCAATACCCAAACCCCCTTTTCCAGGCCTTTTCTCACATCTTTCCTCTATAAAAAATTTCTATGTATTTTTCCTTTATTGCATCTGTGTCTGCAGGAAACTGAGCTACATAAACATAAAAGTCAGTGCTGGTTTTGCCACTACAGGCTCTTTGGGACATCAGGAGGAGGCTCGTACAAACTATGGAAGGCCTATGACCTTCTGGAAAGCCAGTCAAAGCCATTACATTTGAAAGTAGGACACCTTAGGATGTTTATGCTTTGTTTTCTGCAATGGAATGTTATGAAGGACAATACATATATATGTAACGAACCAAAACAATAGAGAGGTAAATTTGAGGCATGAAGAAGTGACACTGCCCTCCTTTGCTATTTTCGATTGCTTAACTTTACACAGAGCTATATAACTAATGCAGGGGTTTAAATCATAATTTTTACATAATAGTTTTTAATGCAGAAATCTACCTTAATTCCTTCACTGTCTCTCCTCCCCATCAGCACCTTTGGTTAGCAGAGATACAGTAAGGCCCCTGAAGTCCATGACTCAGAAATGGTGCCCAGGTACTTTTTATTTCAAGTATACACAAAGAAAAAAATAACTAACCTTCTCCTCTTCTGCAGTGAACAGGACTAGTCCAGAAATCCCATGCTTTAAACAAGGTACCTAGTTCCTCTATTGCATCTCATTAATCTTACATCTTTACTAACAATAAACCTTTTCTGTGACCTCCATTAGCCTTCCTGTGGGCTAGAAATCTACAGACAAAATAATTAAGGGCTTACATCCAGATGGGTGGAGAGGCTGATTAAGTTCTTTACTCAGAACCGAATGGATTTGGTTTTTTTTTTTCATTATTACTGTTGCAGAGTCTATGACTCCAAGAATGCATGGGCATATTCAGTGTATCAGTGGCACTTCGTATTCTAAAAAGTGAGAGAAGCAGAAAGAATAGGGTTGTTCAGACAGAAAATACTGAAATTCAAGATTTTTCAATCTGTTTTGTTTTGGGTTTTTTTAAAGAAATATCAACAACTTAAAGCCACTATCAAATACCTCAGAAGACAGAACTGACACAGGAGAACATTTGCACCACTACAGTGTGATATAATCTAGAATGTTTCCTCCTTCACATGGATTGACTTACCCATTATCTAACCCATTCTGCCCAATTTTCTTTCCTATGTCACCTACCACCACACCTGGAATCGGTAGGAGAGTTTTTATATCTCGAATCTGCACAGAAATGGAATGAAACATTATTTCAGTTGTGGAACAATCAAAGCTATGGGTTGAAATTTTCAAACAGTGAAGATATTCCCAATTTGTATTCTGTTATTAATGCTAAAGAAAGCTCTGTTTTTCTCAAGCACATAATCCTGGATATACCTTGTACTTATGTTTCCTCTCATTCAGAACACAGACCCCTTAATGAAAATTACTTTGGCAATATGACAGTAATGACATCACTGTGTTAAATATGCCTTAACACTGAGGACTGCTCTCATCAGACTAGCAACGAAACCTTCTTCAGGTGTACAGAGACATAGTAGGAATCAATGGAACTTTTATGTAAAGATCAGCTTTGAGCTATTCCCCAATTTTGTAATAAAGTCTGTTCAGTCTGCAACTAGTTCACGTTACTATGTACTTCTCTACTACATTGCCATATTTTCTGATGCCTTTAATCTTATAAACTGATCTCTGTGGTAGAAGCTTGTGGATTTCATGCAGATCAGCCTGCAGCATTGGCAGACATAAATCATGTTAAGTCCCATCCAGGACTTTCATGACTTTATATAGCATAGGTTAGTTTTAACTATATAAGTAGTGTGATAATCTGGAGGCTTTTCAGCTCTTCGGTATTTTTAGAATTTTTTGCAGAAAACTGGCAGCATAAAACTGGTGGTACAACCGTCACAAAATC